AGAAGACATCGGAAGGCAGCCCTGTTTAGGGAAGTTTTTAATGTTTGATTGTGTTTTTAATATTCTGCTGGGAGCCACCCAGAGTGGCCGGTGAAACCCAGCCAGATGGGCACAGTATAAATAATAAATTATTATTATAATGATATGAAAGTCAGCCAGTGTTGTTGGAGTGTCAGATTAGGACACAGGAGACCAGAGTTCAAATCTCCACCCAGTCAAGATGCTCACTGGATGACCTTGCCCCACTCATTGCCACATTACCAGTGTGGTGTAGTGGTTAAGTGCGGTAGACTCGTAATCTGGTGAACCGGGTTCGCGTCTCCGCTCCTCCAGATGCAGCTGCTGGGTGATCTTGGGCCAGTCACACTTCTCTGAAGTCTCTCAGCCCCACTCACCTCACAGAGTGTTTGTGTGCGGGAGGAAGGGAAAGGAGAATGTTAACCGCTTTGAGATTCCTTCAGGTAGTGATAAAGCGGGATATCAAATCCAAACTCTTCTTCTTCTTCTTCTCCACCACTCAAATTCATTGTGCTTGTGAGGAGAAGATGGGCAGGGGGAGAATTTCGTCAGCTCCGGCTGGTGTCTTGGTAATCCCACCCACCCACCTACAGGTTTTGGGAGCTGCTGGTTGGTTGTGATCAATAACAAAACCCCTAAAAATTAGTATACAGTACTGTAATACATATTTTCTTCTTCTTGACCCTTTTTGGGAACATAAAGGAACACTTGGAGAAAATCAAACCCAACTCCTGCAAATGCCACATCCGCCTTTCACTTCTTCCCAGATATCCCAGCAGCCCCAAACCTCTTCCCCACTGATCCATCAATGAAACACTGGAAGGCTGGAAGTGAAATAAAGACACCCCTCTTCTTCCTAGAACCATCTTGATCATGCAGATCTTTCTCTCTCTCTCTTTTTTACTCCTATTCTGCCATGATCAGAAACAATGCTAGGGGCACTGGCGGAGGAAGGGGGGCAGAGGGAGCGTATCGCCCCTGGAACCATTGGGGAGGGGGGTACCATTGCAGCTACCCCCCCAACACACGTTGCACACTCCCCCGCCTGCTCTCCCACTCCCACTCCCAGTACCGGAGCATGCAGCTTCGCCACTGGCTAGGTGTTGTCGTAATCAGCAGAAATATCACAGAACAGTTGTGCAAACTGGAATAGTGGTGAATCTCCCACACAGGGAGAGGAGTCAGAAGGAAGGTTAATATTCCATTTTTCCACAAACAAGTGCTATGGTCAGTGGGCTTTCACACATTTCGGCAATATTGCAAGACTGGAGAAAATACAGAATACACTGAAGTGAAGATCTTATTGTCAATAATCACATTCTCTCACTTAGTATGGTTTTTAGGCACTAGGCAAGGAAACATCTGTGAATGTTTCATCCATTTCTTTATTTACAAATCCACACCCTTCTCTTCAGTTGTGACAAGGCTCCCAGAGTGGCCTACAAATATCAGTAATGGCAATCCTATAACCTAAAAGACACATCAGAAAAAGAAAAGGGATGGGTAGGGAAGAGGAAAAAATCAAACCTATGCTTCAGATGTTAGCTGCAGAGTTCTAATCATAACTACAGTGATGACTCGCAAGACGAAATTAATTCGTTCTGCGAGTTTTTTCGTCTTGCGAATTTTTCGTCTTGCGAAGCACGGTTTCCCATAGGAATGCATGGGGGGGGAGGAAACAAACTTGCAAGACGTTTTCGTCTTGCAAAGCAAGCCCATAGGGAAATTCGTCTTGCGAAGCAACTCAAAAAACGAAAAACTCTTTCGTCTTGCAAGTTTTTCGTCTTGCGAGGCATTTGTCTTGCGAGGTACCACTGTAGTTAAGAAGAGGAGCCAAATACTTCCATTGCTTAGAACTGCAACAGCAGGGGGAGGCACAAGTGGGATTTTCTGCTTTGGTGAGGTGCCAAAATAATTTGTCCAGTTTTGGATAATCTATACCAGGGACGGAACCTCCATTTCTTGCTCCACATCAGGCAGCAAAATGTCCCGTGCTAGCTCTGCCAGTGGAGGTTGTCAGTCTGATGGAAGAGAGTAAAAGGAAATAAGCTTTTGCTAAGGCTAAGACATGTAACTGGAGAATAAAAACCTATCAAATGAAACGGGCAGTGAATTAAAAAAAATCTGATTTATTCTCCAGTCTGGGAATATTTATGGCAGCAGGTTTCCAAATTCTGTTGTCTGTAAATGAATATGGAATTTAAAGAAAGGGTTCACAAGTGCCATCATGAAATGGTTTTATTCCCTTTCTGAATCATTTGAATATTCTTATTCCTGGGACCTCTACATCCTCCAGGAATTTATATGGTACCTCCCCATGTGGATTTTTTTGATATGAAGTGAGAGTACTCTCCAAACCCCTTTCCACACTCCAAGCATATGTATGGTTTTTTCCGTGTGAATTCTTTGATGATAAGTGAGAGTTAAATTCTGTTTGACGCTGTTTCCATGTTCGAAGCTTTTAAATAATTCCTGCCCTGTACAATTTGCTTGATGAAAAGTGAGACATGTCTTTCCACACTCTAAGCATTTAGATGGTTTCTCCCATGTGAATTCCTTGATGACTCGTAAGGTGTGCCTTCTGACAAAAGCTCTTTCCACATTCGGAGCATTTAAATGGTTTCTCCCCTGTGTGAATTCTCTGATGACTAGTAAGGTATGCCTTCCGACAAAAACTCTTCCCACATTCCAAGCATTTAAATGGTTTCTCCCCTGTGTGAATTACTTGATGCAGAGTGAGTGTTGTCTTCTGCGTGAAGCTCTTTCCACATTCCAAGCATTTAAAGGGTTTCTCCCCTGTGTGAATTCTCTGATGACTAGTAAGGTATGCCTTCCAACAAAAACTCTTCCCACATTCCAAACATTTAAATGGTTTCTCCCCTGTGTGAATTCTCTGATGACTAGTAAGGTATGCCTTCCGACAAAAACTCTTCCCACATTCCAAGCATTTAAATGGTTTCTCCCCTGTGTGAATTCTTTGGTGGTTAGTAAGATGTATCTTCCGAGAGAAGTTCTTTCCACACTCCAAGCATTTAAATGGTTCCTCCCCTGTGTGAATTCTTCGATGAATAGTGAGATCTGTCTTCCAACAGAACCATTTTCCACAATCAAAGCACTGATATGGTTTCTCACCTGTATGAATCCTTTGATGAGTAGTAAGACCTGTCTTCTGACCAAAGCTCTTTCCGCACTCAAGGCATGTGTATGGCTTCTCCCCTGTGTGAATTCTTTGGTGTGAAGTGAGACTTGCTTTCTGTGTGAAGCACCTTCCACATTCCAAGCATCTAAATGGCTTCTCTCCTGTGTTAATTCTTTGATGAATAGAGAGACTTCTTTTATCTGTGAAGTTCTTTCCACACTCCAAGCATTGGTGCCGTTTCTCCCCTGTATGAATTCCTTGATGAGTAGTAAGGTGTGTCTTGTGATAGAAGCTCTTTCCGCACTCTAAGCATGTGTATGGTTTCTCCCCTATGTGAATTCCTTGATGACTAGTAAAGTATGTCTTATGACAAAAGCTCTTTCCACATTCCAAGCACTTAAATGGTTTCTCCCCTGTGTGAATTATTTGATGCAAAGTGAGAGTTCTCTTCTGTGTGAAGCTTTTTCCACACTCAAAGCATCTAAATGGTTTCTCCCCTGTGTGAAGTCCCTGATGATTTTTAAGATATGCCTTCCGACAAAAGCTCTTTCTGCACTCTGGGCATTTAAATGGCTTCCCGCCTGTGTGAATTCTTTGATGCAGAGTGAGAGTTGTCTTCTGTGTGAAGCTCTTTCCACACTCCAAGCAAATAAATGGTTTCTCCCTGTATGAATTCTTTGATGAGTAGTAAGGTGTGTCTTGCGATAGAAGCTTTTTCCACACTCCAGGCTTGTGTAAGGTTTCTCCCCTGTGTGAATTATTTGATGGTAAGTGAGAGTTAAATTCTGTCTGAAACACTTTCCACATTCCAAGCATTTAAATAGCTCCTGCCCTGTATGTTTTCTCTGATGTGCAGTGAGATGTATTGCATTATGAAAACTCTCTCCACACTCGAAGCATTTATGCAGTTTCTCCCTTGTGTGAATTCCCTGATGACTAGTAAGGTATGCTTTACGGCAAAAGCTCTTTCCACACTCTGAACATTTAAATGGTTTTTCTCCTGTGTGAATTATTTGATGCAGAGAAAGAGTTGTCTTCTGCGTGAAACTCTTTCCACATTCCAAGCATCTGAATGGTTTCTCCCCTGTGTGAGTTCTTTGATGACCAGTAAGGTATGCCTTCCGACAAAAGCTCTTTCCACACTCTGAACATTTAAATGGTTTCTCTCCTGTGTGAATTCTTTGATGCAGAGAGAGAGTTGTCTTCTGTGTGAAGCTCTTTCCACACTCGAAACATCTAAATGGTTTGTCTCCTGTGTGAATTCTTTGGTGATCATCGAGATATATCTTCCGAGAGAAGCTTTTTCCACATTCCAAGCATTCATGCAGTTTCTCCCCTGTGTGAGTTATTTGATGAGTAGTCAGATGTGTCTTACGATAAAAGCTTTTTCTAGAGTCCAGGCATGGGTGTGTTATCTCTCCCGTGTGGATTTTGTAAGGGGTTTCAAATGCTGATGTAGGGTGGAAAGGTCTCTGACAGAATATACTTGCTTCTTTACTTGTCTGTATTTCTTCAGCTGGGATCTGATGGCCATCACTGCACTGAGAAATAAAGAACTGATTCCACCTTTTCTCTTCTCCTTCTTGTTTCCTTTCCTGCTGCTCTGTCTTTAAAGTCATGTGTGCTTCTGGCAAGAACCAATGTAGATCTTCCTGATTCTCGGATTCCCACTCATGACCTGTTGAAAAAAAAAGAGAGGAAACTATCAGGAGCCTGAGGTGTAACTGGAAGCTTGAATCACTGAACCAAAACACATCATGCTTGCGATAAAGGAGTGACAGAAAATTATAAGCAGACCTTACTATTCATATCCCTGCCATTAATACCTTAATTGATAGTTGAAGTGCTATAGACTATTGGACTGAGTCCATGGGGACCCATGTTCAGCAACTAGCTCACACACGGGTATCGCTGAGTGATAGTGATAGGTTACCTACCTAACAGGGTTGTTGTGACTATAAACCATAGCACAACCATATGTATTCTCTTCTGAACTCTTTTGGGCAATGGTGGGTGGATATATCATAAGTACGAGAAGAGAACCTGTTATTCCGCATGGGAGCATGTAATTTGCATGCAGTCTAAACATTGAATTGTCTAGCCAGTGTGGTGTAGTGGTTAAGAGCGGTGGACTCGTAATCTGGTGAACTGGGTTCGCTTCCCCGCTCCTCCACATGCAGCTGCTGGGTGACCTTGGGCTAGTCACACTTCTCTGAAGTCTCTCAGCCTCACTCACCTCACAGAGTGTTTGTTGTGGGGAAGGAGGGGAGAGGAGATTTAGAGCCGCTTTGAGACTCCTTAAGGGGAGTGAAAGGCGGGGTATCGAGTCCAAACTCTTCTTCTTCTCTTCTAGTCAACTGATCCTGGATTAATGAACCCTTGGATGTGCTGGATATTCTGTCATTCAGAGTACCCAATCCTGGGATAGATCGGCCGATGGCTATGGCAGGGCTGCTTTATCAGGCTTTTGGGATTCCACAATGGCCCCAATCTGTATCTGCACTTCTTGCAGATCTTGAAGTTTCTTGTTGTGGACTGTTAAATTGTTGGCTTTACCATTGTACCTGTTTAACCTACTGTTTAAATGGCAAGGTTAGCCATGAATCTTGTAAACAAGAAAAATATAGAAAGCCTGTTGGATTGAGTCTGAAAAATATATGAAATATGCAAAAATGCTTTATATTGCATTTTCTATACGATATTATGGTCAACTATGCAAAGAGGGAACCTTACAGAGAGAGGCAGTGATCTCACAATTCTTCTCCATGACTTCCCTGTACAGGGCCCTCTGCTCCACATCCAGCAGGGCCCACTCTTCCTCGGAGAAATACACTGCCACGTCCTCAAAGCACATGGGACCCTGAGGGAAAAGGAAAACATTGACCTCCTGATTGGTATGATTGAATGCTAAAATACAGAAAAGTCCTGCAGAAATTAAACCTTCTCAAGCAGCATCCACAGCCCCCCTCGTGGGCACCTTGGGGAGGGGGTTGAGTAGAGGACAGAGGCACCCTGGGTAGAGGGGGTAGAGTAGAGGACAGAGGCACCCCCACTGATCCTACCCCCTCCCTCCTCTGGTTTCATTACAACAGCATCAACGCCACCACGGAGAGGAGACTGTGAAGCAGATCTTGCCAGCATCATTCCATCACCTGTGAGAGACAAAGGTGATGGGAAGTCTGTAGCACCTGATTCTTTCAGAGGTCACATGAGACAAGCCGAGGTACATGCTGTTGTTACACAATGCCTCATCCACTTTCCTACATATCTTACACAATGCTTCCACACGTTATATTAGTGAGTTGTCTGAAAATGCAATTCTTCACACTTGGGACTATTGGCTAGAAATCAAAGTAGAGTGGTACCTCGGGTTACATACGCTTCATGTTACATATGCTTCAGGTTACAGACTCCGCTAACCCAGAAATATTACCTCAGGTTAAGAACTTTGCTTCAGGATGAGAACTGAAATTGTGTAGCGACGGCGCAGCGGCAGCAGAAGGCCCCATTAGCTAAAGCAATACAGTGGTACCTCAGGTTAAGAACAGTTTCAGGTTAAGAATGGACCTCCAGAACGAATTAAGTTCTTAACCCGAGATACCACTGTACTCCTTTAAGTCCTCAGGCACTGAAAATACATTCATTTTTTCAACTTTGAAAAATTTTGGGGACAAGCCGATTCAGGAGAAAATAAAAGAACCCTAAGGATTTAGGGTATAATCGATAGAGGGAGATCCAGTTAATTCTTACCAAGTGAAGCGGCCACTCTGTCGCTCTCCTGAATGTTCCTCTGTTGAAAGGGATGGTTTCTGTCATCCGATGCAGCCTTCTGCGCCCCATGGAAATCAGTGGCCCCTTCAACAAACAGACCTTTCACCTGACACTACAATGGAGATATCAAAGACAAGAAGGATTAGAAAAAGCATGAGAAAGGCCTTTGTGAGTTTGGGACATTACTCTGTGGATGATTTGCAGAAAAGGCCTGACAGTTACAGAAAGCATTAGGATACCCTCCTGCACATTTTGAGCACCTTGAAGGTACCAGGATGAAACTCTCCCTCACCGGCTCTTCTGTCTGCCTCATGTCCTCTGCCTGACTCAGGAGGAAACCTTCGGCCAGGGCCACCGCCTGGGAACTGGTCTCTGCTCCACATTCCCTCACCCAGCTTTCCATCTCTGGGGAAAGGACAGCCAAGAATTGCTCCAGGATCAGCCGGTCCAGGATCTCATTCTTCATGTGTTGCTCTGGCTTCAGCCACTGATAACAGAGATGGTGGAGTCGGCTGCAAACCTCTCTGGGTCCCTTGGCCTCTTGGTAGCGGAAATGCCTGAAACGCTGGCGCTGTGCCTCTGAGCTGAGGGGTTCCTCCTTACCCAGTACCTTCTGAACTGTTCTTTCCCAGAATTCCCCAGGGCTTCCATCCTGGGTTGTAAATGGATCTCTTCCTGCTTCAGTTGTGTCTTTCTCTTCCATCTTTGAGCTCTGTTCCAAGGAAACCTCCAACTGGATCCAAGAGACCCCTCTTCTGCCAAATTGGAGGTGCTATCAAGTCCTGAAAGTGAAGACATTATTTGGTTACTGAATAACACTTTCAAGAGAGGAAGAGTTTCGCTCAGGAAATGTGGCTGAGTCTGGATAACGATATTTTTAAGGATATAGAGATTTCTAACTATCAATATGGTGAAAGTGCTATCAACAGCATTATATTCTCTTCTTCATTATTCACTTTTATGAATATTTTTGAAGTGTTAAGATGTATAATCTATTAAAACTATAGAAATAATTACAATAAAAACAACACAGCTGTAGTAGCACATATAAAATATATATAAATACAAACACACATACAGTAAGCCTGCAGCTTATGTGCATCCAACTTGTGCATATTCAGCTTCAAGTGTGGCTGAATA